AAGAAAGAAGGATAAGTGAATCCTATGACAACAAAAATACAAAATAAACACAAGTCCTTCTCCAAAGAATAGTTGAAACACACCCACTCTTATTACCAAATTAGGGCAAAAAAGTGAGGGGGGTTAACCCTCCAAGTAGAAAAGAACATAAGAAATGTAGAAGAAAGATTAGCTTAGGGATGTAGGGTATTTCTCTCTTTTCCTTCCTCTCTTTTCTTTTCTTGGTCTTCCAATGAAATGGAAAAGAACATGGCTTCAAATGTCTTCAAAGCAAGCCCATCTATGCCTAAGGGGAGGGGTAAATTTGATTGAAAGAAGCTAGCCAATAGGAGCACTCTTGTTGCATGAATGGACCTATGGTGGAAAAACATCTCTTAAGTCGATTTTGGCCACCATTCGGACACCACCACCAACGTACGGACGGTGCTGGTTCTCTAGATTTTTGCCTTGCAGCATCCTTTGTTGTCTTTTTGACATTGGCCACCGTTGGGATGGTGGTTTACATTGCTGATTTTTCTCTTTTTGTCTTTTCACATTTCTTTTTCTTCTTTCCACTTTAGCCCTCTAATTCTCTATATTTACATATGAAATCCAAACATATTATTCAAACATGAGCCATAATATAATTCAAATTAAACACTTTAATTCAATTAACGCCCAAAATTAACCCTAAACCCTAATTCAATACCGCACTTTCTAGGGTTAATTAGAAGATTGCATGGAAATCAAAGTGTAAAACCCAGGAAAAATTTTAATTTTTATGCAAAAGGGGAAAATTGTAATTAGTTACTCCAGTACGAGTTAAAAACACAAATTTTTCTAGAACTTGAATGATGAAATAGATCTCACCTTTGGATTCGTCTCGCGAAATCTAGTTGTCTAGTCAATTTTCATTGAATTTTGAGATAATCAAATTTTTTACATTTCACATGGCGATCGGTGGTCGCGTGACCAAAATAAACACGGTCGGGAATTGATTGCGAAAAGTGGAAAATAATATAAATTTAGTTCTATTTAATTCAAATAAAAATATATTGAACTTGAATCGGGATAAAATTTAATTAATTTGGGACAAAATCAGACCCGAGAAAAGCGGACGTGTGGCGCAACAAGGCCCAAGTATCTAAGGGGTATAAACAGGGGAGAGAAAAATAGATTTTCTCCCATACCCAGCTGATTTTCTGAAAAAGGGAAAAGGGGGAGGGGAAAGAGAAAAATCAAGGGTTTTTTTATCTTCTCTCTACGATATAGGGCCAACCTTTGGTTGGAATCCTTCGAGCCAAGAACTAAAGTTCATCTAAGCAACAAGGGCTACATATACGTACCAAAAGGCACAAATTTTGACAAAGTCCAAAAGATAGAATTTTTTTAAAATCAAGGTTCAAAACTTGATTTAGGTTCTAGGGAGTTTTCTACCACTCGTATTATGCTTCAAGAGGTAGAGTTCTTCTCCTACCTAGGTTTATTTCCAAACTAGGGTTGAAATATGAAATGGATAAGGTGTTAAAGATGTAATCTCATATATGACACATACCTATTGTGATTGAAATGTGGAAAGTGAGTTTAAAAATGTTTAAAATCAATTCTTGCATGAATTGGGTTGTTGAAATTGCTTGTTTTGTAATATCACGAGAAATGTGATGAATTGAACATATTATGTGTTTACATGATTTTGTGTCTTGTGGGTGTTTGATAAAATGCCTTGAATGATATGAGCATGTTATTTAAATGAAATTGATATAACATGTTTGATAATAATGTAAATTGTAATTATATGCTTATGATATAATTGACAATTAGGAATATTGGTTGAAATGAAATATTATTCATAATGTTCTCATGACTTATTGAATATGATATAAGATTTGCATTTGTGCATCACATTTGCATATGCACGAGAAACATCATATTCGTGGGCATTTGACATGAGTGTGGGTGTGTGCATGATTTGGATCAAACACCACTCGTGGTAGATGATGTGTGGACTCAGGAAAATTGGACCAAGGTTCAATCGAGTCGCACAAGTTGCATTGAAAATAGGGTTAGGGTTAACAAGAAGGGCTAGATTGTTCCCTCGTTGCAAGACCCGGTGATTTAGATACGCACTTTGTCAGTATCGAGTCCATAAAGTATGTTGACGTTTGTGGAGCCCTTGGTGGAAGTCCATAAATATTTTGTCGATTGGGTGTCCGTTGGTGTAAATCCATAAATACCCACCCCAAGAAAGACTTAGGAATTATAATAGTCATAGGATGTGTAACATCAATGGTGGGGGCTTGGAATGCTCGGATTGATACACATAGCATTGCATGTGATATGGGAGTCAGTGAAGGCTCAGTTGCATTGCATGTGTGAGTCTCATCTCATGACATTGCATGGCATAAAGTATTCCATTTTTTTTTTAGTATTCCATTATGATTTTCATATTCTTAAATGGGTTTTTTTGTTGATTGTTGAATTGCATGTGAACATTTCATATACATCTAGGTTGGGGAGTTACCTCTTTAAGAGATACACTATTGAACGTGGCTCACTCTTTATGCGGACAATATTTTAGGTGTGGAACAAGCACTGATGGATGACTCTCACTTGGGGCCTCATTGATGAAGAAAAGCCAAGATGTGGCTTTAAATTAAGTTTTTGTAAAACAAATATGTAATTTAGTTTTGGACATGTAATAATGTATAAAGAATTGTAAAACAAACTCATATGGACTATGTTTTTGTGTAAAATTGTATGCTATATGAGGGTTGGGTGGATGTTGTATAAGATTGGATGAGTTAGAATGTAAAAAGATTGAATCGGGGGCAAACTGGGCACTTTTATTGGTAGAATATGGATTATCTACTGGTAGAAGAATTTCAGTAGGCATTTCTACTGGTAGAACGTCGACTACCTACCGGTATAAGAATTCCAGTAGGCATTTCTACTAGTAGAACATCAAGTACCTACCAGTAGATGAATTTCAGTAGGCATTTCTATTGGTAGAACGTTGAGTACCTACCGATAGAATAATTCCAGTGGGCACTTCTACGAGTAGATTGTCGATTATATATCAGTAGGTCCCCTTAAATTTTCAAAAAAATAAAATACTTTTGTCCATAAAATTAAAACACTTCTACTGGTAGATTGTCGATTATCTACCAGTAGGTCCCCTTAATTTTTCAAAAAATTAAAATACTTTTGTCCAGCCTCTGGGCTTTGAGTCATTTTGCTCAAATGAGGTAAATGGAGTAATATTAAAGGTAAATTGATGTATATTGAACCTTAGAATGATCAAGTGATTGAATTGTACACAGACAATATTTTTGGGAGTGCCCGGTACAAGGTAGACTCTGCCCAAACTCTATGTTAGTTATGATCCCGATGAAGGAGATTTTGTAATGTGGTGTCGGATTATGCGGTATTCACGGGTACTTTCACGGGTTGATGGGGGTGATTAATGAGTTGACAAAGATCCCCAGTTTTAGCGGCGTCACACAAAGGGATTCAATTGATATTTCAAAAAGCTAAACAGTTGATTAAAGTGGACCCTGGCTACATACATAGGTGCGTCTGAATGCAACTACTCCATTCGGACACGAGTAAGGACATTACAGCAAAAAAACATTTTTTGTGACGATTTTAAATTTGTCGCAAAAAGTTTACTATTCGTGATGATTTTATAATTTTGTCGCAAATTTCTATTTTGACAATTTTTTGTGATGCGAAAATGTGATTCTCTCCTAATTGTTTTTGGCGGGAATTTGTAATTTTTTACAACAAATTTTTTTTGTCACAAATAGTTTTACCTTATCGCAAAAATAAATAATCTAAAATTTAAAGTAAAATAAAGTCTAAATTTCTATTTTGGTAATTTTTTGCAACATTTTTTTAAAAACGTCGCGAAAAGGCGATGCCCTCCTAATTGTTTTTGGCGGAAGAAATGACGAGAATTAAAATATTGAATAAAAATAATAATTTTATTAATTTTTCGCGACGTTTTTTTAATAAATTTTTAGGTAAATAAAAAAAATTAAAAAATAATAATTTAATTAATTTTTCACGACCTTTTTACAAAAATGTCACCAATAAATTTTTACATGAATAAAAACTTTTTAAAATAATAATTTAATTAATTTTTTGTGACGTTTTAAGTTTGTCGGAATATTCATATCGCATAATATATTTTGTCGCAGAGTATAATTTTTAAAAAAATTCTTTTACCCTAAATTCTTTTTATTTTTTTTGTTTGCGACGTTTTTTTGTTTCATCGCAGAAGATAATTCTTTTGCCCTAAATCGAGAAATCCATTAAATCGATCCACAAAAATTCCAGACCACCAAGCGACTGACCACAGCTCCAAGAGGCAACTCTCCAGCGACCACTCCAGCAACTGAGCAGGGACCACTCCGACGACTGAGCAGTGATCACTCCGACGACTGAGTAGCGACCACTCCAGCCTCCGAACTCCGACCCCCTCATCGTAGACAAAAAGCTATCCAAAGTCGGAAACAAAAGTAAGTTTTCCTTAGATTTTGATGCTCCTGTAAATCATGGAGTGATTCTGTGAGCACTATCACTGTTGATTTAAACTACTCATGGTATTGGGTTTTTTCTGTTTTGAAATTTTTTTTGTTCCTGTTCCATCATTTATTCTTCGCGGTTTAACTGATAAAAGATGTTTGAAAGCTGATTCTGAAACTTCTGTGAATCTCAAAGAAATCGTTTTCTTTCTCTTGACAACTCCTACAATTTTGGTGAAAATAATATAAACAAGGTACTGTTCACGGATTTAAGATTCCATTATAATCTGATTTCTTTCGTGAAAATGGCTATGAATATATGCTTTTTAATTTCGTATTCTTATCACATTTTCCACCTTTGTTTGTGTAGAAGAAAATGGACTTTTCACAAGCAATTTGGGAGATGATTCATTCGGGGATTTTAAGAATGCTTCAAAATCGAGTACATCGTCATTTATGTCAAATGCTTTTCCCACAAAAAATAATAGTTCGAGCATGGATACTTCTTTAAAGATGGACGATTTTGGGAGTTTTGCTTCTCAGAACCAACCATCTGTGCATTCCCCTGTTGTTGATGCGTTTGATTCTTTGTTCTCCTCGTCCTTGGCCTTGGGTGGGGTTGCGACGAAAGAGTCTGAAGGGCTGCACAATGATCAGTTTTCTGGAGGCAATGATTGGGGTTTTGAATCAGAATTTGGTGGAGGGAATGACAATGGAGGGACAACTGAGCTTGAAGGGCTTCCTCCCCCGCCTTCTGGGGTTACTGCACCAGCTGCAAAGAACAAGGGAATGGATATTCATAAGCAGGGGCAATATGCTGATGCCATAAAGTGGTTGTCATGGGCTGTAGTTCTCCTTGACAAGGCTGGCGATGATGCTGGCACAATGGATGTCTTATCATGCTGGGCTTCTTGTTACAAAGAAGTTGGGGAGTACAAAAGGCTGTCGCTGACTGTACGAAGGTATGATCATAACGTCAAACTTTAAAAGAATTTGAGGGTTCATACTTCATATGTTTAATTTCCATTTACACATTTTGTATAAATTAGCTTGAGTTCTTATAGCATCCCGATAATCTTTTAGTTATAAAACTCTTAGATAACTCTTTAAGCTCTGCTGCCCAATATGCCTTTTGAACATCATAAGCTGATCCAGCTGGTGCAAGAGATATATTGATCCAAAACATGTCCTCTGCTACATTTCTTGACACAATCTCTTGTTATGAAGTATTGGAACATAGCCAGAATAGGGTGGCAACTAATTAAGTGGCACATATTTATTTGATTGGGCCCTGCATGTATGACACTGTCCAATTCATTTTGCTTTGCAGCTTCATGAGTTGTCTCTTGATTCTTTACCTGCTTAATGTTGTGTAACCATTTCATTGATTACCTTGCTTGTGTATCTGTCCTTGTAATTTGCTTTATATTTTACAGGTACTAGAACAAGACGGTACCAATGTATCTGTCCTTGTACAGCGGGCCCTCCTATATAAGAGTATGGAAAAGTACAAGCTTGGGGCAGAAGACCTCAGGACTGTTATGAAACTTGATCCTGGTAACAAGCTCGCAAGAAGTACCTTTCACCGCTTGACTAAAATGGCCGGGTGGAGAAGTTTTGGAATTCTATTTGTGAACCTTTTCATTTCTCATATGCTTGATTACACTATCTCCCATCTTCATATCAACTTGTGGGGGCTATTATTACGTTTCTCTTGAAAATTTGACTTACTTTGTTGATGCTTGTCTTGTGATTTACACTTATAATGTACTGTATTTCATATACCCTATTGCTTGTGATTTGGAAGTTGTTCTTCTTTGTTGCTTCAAATTGGCTTTGGAAAGACAAAGTTATAAGTAGTTCTGTTTTTGCTTTGCGATGTGTCTTGCCTGTGTATGAGTTGGGTTTTATTGTTGACGGCTCTTATCTTACTTTTGCTTTTTGATCATTAATCTGCATGCAGTTGATATAAGGAATCTTTCTGCTTCCAACACAAGCCTGTTCTATTTGGTTCTATACTGATACTGCTACGCTTAGCTACACGTTGTGCACATCAGTATATCTTCTTTCAAATTGCCATTTCCGTTTTGGTCTTTTCTTCACCATTAATTTTTTCTAGGTGATTACAGTACCAAGGGAGCTATTAGCAAAGCAAATAATTTTCCCGTACCAAGAGGGACCAGTAAAATTACTCTATTGTGATGTATGTCACGAGCTTGTATTAAGAAAACAATTTCTTTACATAGTAAGACTACTAGGTACATTTGATTTTGGGCTTCTGTAGTGGTAAGCATAGGATATATTGAACTACCTATGCTGCTCACTGATTCCAACTGAGATGATTCAGCTTAATTAATATAAGAGTAGTGCTATTAAGACTTAAAAATTAAATTAAATTTGTTAATTTAATGATATAATAGTACATGATTTAATAATAGTATTATGAAAATTGTGATACTGGCACACTGATTTTCTTTCTACGACTATCAAAATAGGAGCCGAAGTAAGCCTCATTTTGAATTCTTGGAATGTCTTTTCACAATCATCATTCCACTCTAACTTGATCTCTTTTCGAGTAAACTTGGTCATAAAAGCAGCTAATCGAGAGAAGTCTTCAATGAACCTCTTATTGTACCCCGCCAATTCCAATAAATTGCGTATCTCGAATACTGACTTCAGTCTTTCCCAATTCATAATTGCTTCCACCATTTTAGGGTCCACGGACACACTCGAAGCCAACACTACATGTCCCAAAAATTTCACTTTTGTAAGCTAAAATTCACACTTGCTAAACTTGGCGTGCAACTAATGATCTCTCAACATCTGGAGAACAATCCTCAAGTGATTCTCATGCTCCTCCTCAGACTTGGAGTAGATCAAGATGTCGTCAAAAAAGACTACAATAAACTAATCTATGTAGGGTTGAAACACCCTATGTATGAGATTCATGAATGTCGTTTGAGCATTTGTCAATCCAAAAGACATGACTGTGAACTCAAAATGTTCATACCGCGTCCTAAATGTCGTCTTAGGGATATCTGTTTCCCTAACCTTCAACTGATGGTAACCGGTGCAGAGATCTATCTTGAAGTAGACCCGCGCTCCTCTCAATTGATCAAACAAGTCATCAATCCTCGACAAAGGGTACCTATTCTTGATAGTAACCCGATTCAACTGTTGATAATCTATGCATAGTCGAAGGGTTTTGTCATTCTTCTTGGAAAATAACACCGGAGCGTCCCAAGGTGAAGTGCTCGGTCTAATAAAGTTCCTGTCCAACAATTCTTGCAATTGGACCTTGAGTTCTTGTAACTCAGCTGACGTCATCCTATGTGGAGTCATAGAAATAGGTGACATACTAGGATGCAACTTAATGATGAAGTCTACATCCCTATGTGGAGGTAATCTCGATAGTTTATCCGGAAAAACATCCTCATATTCGCACACGACCTAAGGTAGACCCAACTCTTGTCTCGCCTCATCCTCCAGGGTAAGGCTTGCTAGCCAACCCATCAACTGCCCGTGCCAATGAGAGTTATACACTACTTGGGATAAAACGTCATGTTTTTCTTCTTGGAACTTGAAACAAATTCCCTTCGAGGTGTAGGCTGTGACTCTCTTATGATCACAATCAATGACGATTTGATGTGACGCTAACCAATCCATGCCAAGGATCACATCAAACTCCGACATGTCCATGACCTTAAGGTCTACGGTGAGTAGAATTTCCGAGATCTCTAACTCACAGTCCTGACATATCTGATCAACTCTCATCCTAACTCTTAGGGGAGAACTCACATGCAACGGCTCTTTTAAGGTCTCAACCTCTAAGTCTAAATCTTTTACACAAGATGCATCAATAAAAGAGTGCGATGCACCGAAATCGAATAATTCTTTAGCCCATAAGCGGAGAGTAGAAATGTACCCTGTATCACCGACTGATCTACCGGCTCAGTCTGTGGCACCATGGCATAGACACGCCCCTGGGTTCCAAAAGTCCCCGCTTGTGAGCCCTGTCCTCAACCTCGACCTCGACCCATGCCCTGGCCCATCTAGCCTGATTGTGGAGTCCCTGCTCGTGAAGTAGTAGGGGTCTGTGTAGCACCCTAGAACTAATACTAGCTCCCCTAGCCTATAGTGGGGTAGGGAAGAATGTATTGTGTCAGTGGTTGCCCCACCAAAGTCTGGGACTGAGATGACCCATAACTCTGGAATCGTTACCTCTGAGGACAATCCCGTTTCATGTGACCTGGCTGGTGGTAATGAAAACATGCCCATGAGCCTGTCTGGCTGGGAGCCCTGAAGTGTCTCCCACCTTGGGAGGACCTTGGCCTTGATGACCACGACTCTATCCTTAAGGAGCAAAAGTCCTCTGTCTCTTTCCTGAACTAGAAGAAGAGGATTGACCCTCCTTCTTCTTATCTTTCACACCCACCTCCCGGATGTTCCGTGCATCCTCTACTTCTCTCTCAATGGTCATAGCAGTCGTGACCATTGAGTCCAAGTCTTACAAAAAAAGACCCATGATTTTACTCCGGATGGACAACTTCAGACCATCCACAAACTTCCTCACCTTGGCCATGTCAGTGGCCACATTGTCATCGACAAAACGTGCTAATTCCGTGAATTTAGCCACGTATTCCATCACCGTCATCATCCCTTGTCGCAAGTCCAAGAACTCTTGGACCTTTGCATGTTTTGCGACCCCCAGAAAATATTTGCCCATGAAGAACTCCTTGAACTCTACCCAAGTCATTGTCTCCAAATTTTTGGAGTCCTTCACCCAATCCCACCGCAGCTGGGATTCTCCCTCCAACTGAAATATTGCTAGGGTTATCTTGGTGGCGTTGGAGGTAATCTCTATTGCCCTTAAGACCTTATCGACTTGTCGGAACCAATGATCAACCACTATAGGATCCGCCCCTCCTTGTCCTCCACTTGCATTAGTCTGTGCAATGGTGGCAGTCGTACCATTAGCCTGTACTATAGTAGCACCCACCGTACCAATAGACTCCACTAAGGCTTGTTGGTCAAAAGCCGGTGGTGGTTGGTTATTATTTTGTCCACCCCGACGTCCCCTTCTTCTACTTGCCATCTACACACATGTCAAATGACAATAGAACATTCACATAACATCCTAAGGTAGGGATCAAACTTGAAACATTGAGATTTATCTCCTTGTTTCCCTAGTAAAGTTTATGACACCCACTAGTAAACATTTATACCTTTAACTATCCCGTTCATTTCTTTCCCGACCCTCAAGGTTATGTTTTCTAACCTTAGTGTTTCTTTTCATATACATTTTACCATCTATATATTGTACATAATCACATAGCACATAATCATGTAACAAAATGTAAGCACATAAGATGAAATATACAATGCATGCAATGGTCTAAATCCAATGCCCATCAATCTCTAAGTAATTCGTATACCTATACTCTGATACCAAGCTGTGACGCCTCTAAATTCGGGGGTCCCGTTGACCTCTGTCAACCTACGAAAATATCTGTGAGTGCCGCATAATCTGACATTACGTAATAGTATCTTTTTACCTACGATTTTAACTCACACATGTAACCTGTGTTCTTTTAATCATTTAATCCACCCTAATAGATCCCATTTAGGGTCCATTTGTGTCATTGGAACTAAAGAACCAAAGTCCAAAAACATAGCACTTTAGTTTTAAAATTTGAAAAATTTGGAAAAGCATACTGGTATTGCGTACCGGTACAGTTTGCCCTCTGGATAGACAGTACCGGTACGCCGTACCGATACGCTCTGTCTTCTGGACCATACGGTACCGGTACACAGTACCGATACACTCTGCTTAGTGTTGTTCGTTTCACCTATTTTGCATGTCTAAGACATTCCAAACCACCCCAACATCATTTCAAACAAATATAATGATGTTTATCGAATAAAACTTTATATCTACAAGTTCTATTACAAACCATTTACACGATTACATATCAAAATGGAATATAAACCAAAGTTTTACACAAAACTTGTTTTCAAAAGCCACAAACCGGCTTTTCTTCACCCTCGACGCCCCGAATGAGTATCATCCGCCGGAATATACCCCGCACCTGAAATGTGTTTCCGTATAGGGTGAGTCACGCCCAATAGAATTTCCTATAGAGGCTACTCCTCACTTAAGTGCATATGCAATGGTCTCATGCAACAATTACAAACATAATTCTATTTCATCCAAGAACATGCTATTCAAAATGAAATTCCTCCATGCCATGTCATGATATGATATGAAACTCACTCATGCATTTCTTTTGCCTAAGCCTACTCCAGCTTCAACAACACTATGCAATGCATGTGTGTAAAAATATTTATTTTTGATGAAATACATCCAAAGATTATTTTGAAGCAAAACTCATGTGTTCATAAAAATCAATTCATTTATGGATGTGTCCCATCAATTGAATCAT